CTCGTACTAGACATAAATCACTTTGTGTCTTTACCGGCACAGATTGGCAAATTGCGCAAATTGGAGTATTTCAGTATTGCCCGAAATTCGTTGAGTAGTCTTCCAGCGGAGCTTGGGTGCCTGACAGAACTTCGATACCTTGATATAAGACAAAACAATCTCAAGAAACTTCCCATGGAGATATGGTGGGCAAACAAGTTAGAATTCCTCAACGTTTCTTCCAACGTTTTGGAGAACTTTCCAAAACCAGGTTCAAGACCTCCTCAACCGCCTGGCGACGTTGGTTCTGCCAACAATAATCTTAACCCGAATTCGCAAAACTCAAGCTTCGAAGAGCTCGGACCTTTGGACTTTGGGCATAGAAGGCCAAGTCAGGCGTCTAGTGGGCTTCTCAGCGTAGGTAGCTCACCAGTTCCTGATGCCAGGAAAGGATCAGTCGTATCAGTTTACGGTAAAGGAGGACGCAAGACTTCAGTGGTGTCAAGAAGTACTTCTGCAAGTACAATTAATCACCCACCACCAGTAAGCATACGTAAGGATTCAGGATTGTCCGCAAAACTTGTTAATACATTCGCCGGATCACTGAGAAATCTTCACCTGGCTGATAATGGGCTTGACGATGATGTTTTCGATGAACTCACTCTTCTCAGCGAACTGCGGGTTCTAAACCTTTCTTACAACGATCTCAATGATATACCATCGAGATCCATCAAGAGCTGGCCGCAATTGGTTGAGCTTTACCTATCTGGAAACGAGCTCACTTCACTCCCTTCAGATGATTTTGAAGAATTCAGTCTCCTGCAAGTCTTGCACATCAACGGCAACAAATTCCAAACCCTACCTGCAGAACTTGGAAAGGCGCATCGCTTGACCGTTTTAGATTGTGGTAGTAATTCGTTGAAGTACAATGTCTCAAATTGGCCCTACGATTGGAACTGGAATTGGAACACGAACTTGAAATATCTTAACCTTTCCGGGAATAAACGTCTAGAGATTAAGCCCTCGCTGCCGGGAAGTGCGGGTGCTCGTGATGGGCGTGATCTTACAGATTTCAGCGCATTGCAATCTCTGCGAATCTTAGGCCTCATGGATGTAACTTTAACTATCCCATCTATTCCCGATCAGACCGAAGACCGAAGAGTTCGTACTTCAGGCTCTCTTGCAGGACAGCTGGCTTATGGAATGGCAGACAGTCTGGGTAACGATTCACACTTATCTATCATCGATATGGTTGTGCCTCGCTTTAATTCTACTGAGACAGAAACCCTTTTGGGAATGTTTGATGGTGCGATATCGTCAAATAGAGGTTCGAGAATTGCAAAATACCTCCATGAAAATTTCGGTCACATTTTTAGCGATGAATTGAAAAGACTGAACGCTCTCAATAATGAGACCCCCAAAGACGCGCTTAGACGGGCTTTCTTGTCACTCAACAAAGACTTAGCTACCGCTGCAGCTCAGAGTAACGAAGAGAGGGCAGTGCTTTCGCAAAGGGGATCCACTACACCCGCAGTTCTCGCACAAGACGATCTTACCTCTGGTGGTGTAGCTACTATCATGTTCTTGCAACAATCCGAGCTTTACGTCGCCAATGTTGGAGATGCTCAAGCCATGCTCATTCATGAAAAGGACGGTCATCGAATTCTAACCCGAAAGCATGACCCCGCCGAGCCAAACGAAAGACAACGCATCCGAGATGCAGGTGGGTGGGTCTCCAAGCAAGGAAAGTTGAACGATGTTCTCGAGGTCTCCCGTGCATTCGGCTATGTCCATCTACTGCCAGCCGTTCAAGCTGCACCTCATGTGACGCATGTCACTATCAAAGAGCAGGACGAGATGGTACTAATTGCTTCAAGAGAGCTGTGGGAGTATTTATCCCCTGAACTTGTGGTTGATATCGCCCGGTATGAAAAGCATGACCTCATGAGAGCTGCACAAAGACTTCGAGATCTTGCCATCGCCTTTGGCGCTTCTGGAAAGATTATGGTCATGATGATGGGTGTTAGTGATCTAAAGAAGCGTGCTCAAATTCGACCCCACCGGGTTCAAAGTCTATCCTTTAATCCAAATATGATGATGGACGAGGGCTATGTTCCTTCAAAGAGACCTAAGAAGAAGATCAATGATATCGAAGATTCATCGCTCCGAAGACTAAAACAAGAAGTTCAAGCGCCTGTGGGCGACATTGGTATTGTCTTCACAGATATCAAGAGCTCTACCGCACTTTGGGAAACATATCCCAACGCCATGCGATCTGCAATCAGACTCCATAATGAGGTCATGCGCCGTCAATTGCGCATCATTGGTGGTTATGAGGTCAAAACAGAAGGAGATGCTTTTATGGTATCATTCCCTACCGCGACATCTGCTCTCCTTTGGTGTTTTGCTGTTCAAGCAGCATTACTTGAAGTTAATTGGCCTGCCGAAGTTATAACGAGTCACATGGGGCATGAAGTTTATGACAGCAATCAAAATCTGATTTTCAAGGGTCTGAGCGTCAGGATGGGCGCTCATTGGGGTCGACCAGTGTGCGAGAATGATCCAGTAACGAGACGTATGGACTATTTCGGTCCTATGGTCAATCGAGCAGCTCGTATTTCTGCCGTTGCCGATGGTGGTCAAATCACTGTATCAGCTGATTTTATCTCTGAGATTCAACGATGCTTAGAGACATACAGTGAAAGTGACCGCTCTGGGTCTACCGGCTCAGAAGATGCTTTCGACAGCGATCTTATCAGTCAATCAATTCGTCGTGAGCTTCGCTCCCTAAGCAGTCAAGGCTTTGAGGTCAAAGACATGGGAGAAAGAAAGCTCAAAGGATTAGAAAATCCCGAGTACATCTACCTCATGTATCCACATTCACTTGCTGGCCGAATTCACTCCCAAAGATCCCTGGAAGGGGAGGCAGCCGTCATTGCGGAGGAGCCTGCCACTCTTGCTCCTGATTCGGAATTGACCATTGATCCGGCCCATGTTTGGGATATCTGGAAGCTCAGTCTAAGGTTAGAGATGTTGTGCTCAACTCTGGAGGAACCTCGTGGGGAACCTTTGCAACCTCCTGAAACAGCAATGCTTGAGAAGATGAAAAACAGAGGCGGAGAGGTGACTGATCGCTTCTTGCTAAACTTCTTAACTCATCAAGTCTCAAGGATCGAGGTAATTTTCCCAACAACTTGTTGTTATAGTATTCCCACTAACTATCATAGACCTGCATTACTGCAATCGCTACGCGTCATTTGGCGCTTGGTCAAATAGCTATCTCCGACCTCGACCAATTACGTGCACCAATGGCAGACGTTATGGAAGGTCTTGCAGCTGACCTGCGAGAATTACAGCAATATAGAGCTAGGTACGGTCCGTTGGAACCGCCCTCGGTATACGAATCTGAGGATGACTTCGAAACCGTGTAATCAAAGTCACCCAAAATCTCTTTCTTATATTGGTATAACAATCGTCTATTGAGCAATACGACTTGACAAATTTAACTCGGGTAGCACAGTGTATAGATTACCTAAACACCATGTACAGCATTTTTTAACTGTTTTCTTATTCACTTTTTTAGTATACTTTTATTTGGGGACAGAACTGCGATGGTATAGTGGAATTGTTTAGTCATCTACTTTTACACGGTGACTCTCTTGACTTTTTGGGTCATTGGGCATAGGCATTAGCGGCTAGGTTTATATATGGATTTAAAAGGATAAGGTGGGATTGGAGATGGGAGTTCAGTCTATATATATTTGTTGGTTGTTTGTTGGGTCGGGCCCTTGAACGGGGCATGCGTTTTTTGTGTTTACTTATCATTATTTTGATATATACTTTTAAGTTTCGTTATCGAATTGGAATCAATTGGAAGGGAATATATTTGGATGGGTGTGGTGATATGAATGGATGGGAAGATCACGGGAAAGGAAGGAAGGGAGGAAGGATCGACGGCTTTGGGTCTGCACCGTGTGCATGAGATCATCACAAGGACTGCGTCTTAGATCTCGATTATACTAGAGGGTGGCAGAAATGAATGGAAGTGGAAGGCACGAGTTTATAGGAGAACTTGCTCCCTTGAAGGGAAAAGGAAGCAGGAAAAAGAAGGAACCGGAATAACATTATGACTTGATGACTCGGATTTCTTTGGTACGAAACTGAGAATTTATATCATCGGATTGAATTGGTGGATTGAAGGGTATATACAAATGTTAAGCGAGCAGGCGAGCGTGGCATGTTTGGACTGTTTTTGATCCGGAGATTTGTAGACTGGGCGGGGCGCGGGGCGGCGTGGTGTGGGTGAGAATGGAATGGATGAGGATAGGGGAGAAAGGCTGGGAATTGCAAGGGAGAGGAAGAGAAGAAGAGAGAAATTATATGAAACACATATTTTGATTCGGGTATTGTGGTTGATCTGATTTTGTTTTTTGATGATATGTGTGAAATTGTGTTTATGTGATTTGAAATTTGAAATTTAAAATATGAATGTGTGATAGATTTCTTTGAGAAAGAATTGAATGTTTTGATAGGTAGGTAGGTAAGAAATGAAAAGATTTGGCGGGGATGTTGTAATTGGTGACTTTTGATTTTGGGATTGATGTTTTGGGATATGGTAGGTATGTATAGATTGTTAGTTGAAGGGTGGAAGGTATATAAATGGGTTTCTGTTCTGGGGAAGAGAAAATCAGAGATTTGATTGGTAGGTGGATAGGTGGATGGGTAGGTACCTAGGTATGTATAGTAAGTCAAGTAAGTAACTTGAGACGAGAAGTCTTGAGGGATTATTGTTGACTTCGCCAGGATTGTGCGGGTCTGACGAATCTGGAATCTTGTCACATCACCTCCCGGTGAGCTGATCCTATGTATAGTAGGATCGATGAGTACTGCGTATACCCATACAATTACACATATTCATTTCGATATTTCAGAACACTGCGTCTCTCCACTCATAAATTTTAAATTTTACATATTCATTCATTTGGTCATTAAAAAAACACAAAAGAGTACATGGGTATACATTAAACCCAACCCGGGCTCCTAGAACTCATTAACATGCCCTCATTTATACTCCTCGCGCTACTCGACCGCGAGTTCTGCTCGTGCGGCGGACTCAAATGTTCTCCATCTTCCCTACTCTCGTAACTCTGTGTATTTTCTAGCCCGCGCTCCGCATCCCCCGTTCCCGCTTCACTCCTGGTTGCCTGTCTGCTGACCAGTTCCGTGCCGTCTTCCTCTTCGATTTCTTTGTCGAATCCCATGCCCCTATGGCTTGAACTCACATCGAATGTTTTCTTCATTGTGATGCCCTGGTTCGTCGCATACGAGTCGCGTCTCCCGTTTATGAAGGAGTTTTTTGAAGCGAGTTTGGGAACGCTGGAGCGTCGGCGGCTGGGATCGTAGCCGAGCGATTTGGAGTGGTTGGAAGAATTGTGCGTGGTGCCTGCGATGCGGGGGAAGATGCAGACGAGGAGGAGTCGGATGGCGGGCATGCTGGAACAGATGATTCCGGTGCAGATCTCGATTGTGCACCAGTAGCCTAGTTGGAAGTAGTCCCCTTGGTGGATGGATTAGCTTTGGAGTTTGGGACAGGGGAAGCAGGGAGAATTACATGTGGGATTTTGAGTATTTGCAAAGACGATGAGGGATTGCAAACGAAGGATACTGACGACCGTCACACTAGAAATAGTTAGCATGATGTTACACGGTATCAATGAGTAAAGAGTTTATACTTACATAATACCAATACTCAACATAGCAGCTACACCAATCTTCTTTTTCCAATGCAAATTAAGATCGTAAAGTTGTGTCAAGGGAAGTATCAACATCCAGATATCCATTACAATACTGATACCGGCACCTGAAAATGCCAGTGCATTGATATTCAGACACTTTCCAGAATGTTCACCATCCCATCTTTTCCAGTAGAAACTGATTGGACGGCATTGTAAGGCGGCTAGTAAGTCGATTATTATGAATATTAGGAGGTTCGCGATGATTGTACCCCAGATTGTCCAACGTATCTTGCGGTCGGGGAAGAGACGAAGGAAGAAGAAAAGGATCGAGATTTTGATGAAGTTGACTTGGGCAAAATACAGGATTTCGGCTGCGTATAACCACTGCAATTGGTCAGTTTCAAATCGTAAAGTGTGTTCAAGTCGTAGCATTACTCACACGAATCATGTCACTGATGTTGTTGAAACTTAATGTCCAGATATCTTTTCCCAGTCCGTTGCCGGTAACTATTTCTCAGTAAGTATGTGTGATGATATGTCTTGGTCTCAGGAAAACTCACGGCCTTGAACGTTGATAATAGCTTGTAGCAAACCAACAATCTATTATAGAATCAGCTATGCTTCTATCATATTCAATCATGCCAAACTAACCATAACAAAAGTCGCAACATAGTCATCCCACCAGAGTCGAGTATCAGAGGTGAATCTTGAAGCAATCCTCAGAAGGTATGCTATCCAGGAAGCAACGACGAATGAGTTGGATATCCAGTTGTATAAATCCCTCTTATCCCTGACTGGTGCATTGCAGGCGACGGACGTAACATTTTTGGTACCTAGAAGTCATCAGAAATAGAATTGTTATAGCAACTGATTGTAACTTACTAAGTGCTTCTTTGATAGTGCATTCCTCCATTACACAAATGTTAACTTCTGTGTTTAGAGGAACATTCGTACAAATACATTGTTGATCGGTAGGAGAGCAAGTCGAATTTGCAAGAGCCGTGGTAAGACAAGTGAGCTAACGTGATGTCAGTTCATGTTAGAAGTTTCAAGAATATCCATAACATACAGCACATGAAGGAAGAGCTTCAACAACGTCAGTTATTGACAATGATGCGGCAACGATGTTGACTGGCAGCACAGCGCACAGTAAGGATAACCAAGCAAAGACTCTCATGTTGACTTCGGATATCGTCGATGAACAACGTTCATGAACCGGGATAGGTTTTACATATAGCAATTTCTTTTCACCATATGTTGTCAAACTTGCATCTTCTCCATTGTCTAGAGTGTCGATCAATGTAGGAAGAGAAAGCTCGAGAGATTGATAATCGGGATGATCTTTGTTGACAAGAGTAAGTTGAGTGTAAGTTAAGAGTACATTTTGCTGATGCCGAACCACTATACAAGACACTAGCAGTGGATAGTGGGAAAGGCCCTCGATATGAGAAGACTGTGTATTGCAGTTCATCCCGCTAAACTTAAAATTTGGGGTGCATCTTGTCGCAGGGCACGGTTTCACTAGCTTGATATGGTGGTATCAATGAACCACAGGGGGGCGATTATTTTAGTCTCTGACACGAAACATATTACAATGAACCTCAACAGCTCTGACGGGACTTCACAATCTTGGACCATTTCGGCAGATTGTGGCATGCACTGCAGTCCTCGATGCAGTGTAGTTTTGATCCTGACGGAATATTGACCTACGGGCTGGACTGGGTAGTTGTGGTCCACTGAGAAAATTTGGCAAGTGGGGATATGCTGGCGTGCTCGAGCAAATTTCCTTCCGCTCGGGACCTTTCGAGAACCAATGGAAACCCTTATCTCCCGCAAGACGGGCTGACTTGCGAACAATATGCCATTCTTCCGGAAGGATGCCGCATAAGGCATGAGCTTGCTATACCCGAGTAGTCTAGCTTGTATCCATAGCGAGTTCGCGTACGAGACTAATATCAATTAAGTATGGGGAATGAGTGGCGTCGATTCTACCAAGTAGATACCGAAGGGTTGTATATCATCATCACTCGTGGAGTTATATCGGAAAATCATGCTAGCGTAGAAAACGAATCAATGAAGATGTCTTCGGGAGTTAACATCGAGCTAAATGCTGCAATATTTGAGGATGAAGCCTGAAAATAACAATGATGATGATGGCTAGCCTTAGTGTCTAATCGGTCCACATAGCCGATTACGATACGCAGACTCGCAGATACTTGTACCGCAAACTTCTTCCGGTACTCTATTTGTTTCGAGTCAGATGTAATCCGTGCTAAGTAATATATGAGATAAAGTGACTCGCTAGGAGTTTTAGACAGAAAAGGGTGTGACTGCGTGGCTGCATGCAGTATGGAAGCCACATAATAGATATATGGTGTAATCTTACGTTGCATCAATTTTGACTTTATCCAACAGTCTACCTAGTACCTACCGACATCAGTTTTCTTTTGCGTGGTAGTGTTGTGAAGTTTAAACGTCGATAACGTTATAAAAATCGAAACCGTCGTACGATCAAGAAAACTCAAAATTAACTTCCGGAAAGTTACCACTATCGGTTAGACGAGAGCTTGTTTGTCGCCCTGAATCGTACAACGATGATAGCACAAGTTGATGCATATCGTCGTGCGAAATCGGAATGAGACACGAATTCTACTCCGTCTAGGTCTATTGGATGTCGATATCGAAATGGCTGTCGTTAATTTTCAGGAACAAGGGACAGGAACGAAAGACGCGGGACGAGATTCTATGAGAGAAATCAGGGGAGTGGGGGGGGGGGGGGGGGGGGGGGTGGGAGAAGGGATGTTCACCCTCACAGCGTAACAATACCAAGTGAATCATGGATCCAGTCTCGCAGTGCGAAAGTATCCGTAATAAGGAGGTTTTTGAGTGTTTCCGAACTTCGATCATCTGGGGAGTCCTGGTCAAAATAGTAAGCAGAATGTATCCAGCAAATTATAGAGTAATCATCTAAAGATTTCTACTCGTCAAGAATTGTTGTTCCTTTCCGTTCCTTGCAGAGCCAGATTTCTTCTAATTTCCAATTTCCCGTTTGACAGCAAACCGCTCGCTGTAAATTTCCACAACCAACTGAACCGACGATTGAATTAGATTGAACTGAATTGAATATGGATGAAACCCCGAAAACACCGGAAGATGTGTGTACCTTAAGCTTTTGCCACATTGTTCAGTCATAATTGACATGTGCCACTATTCACGTGTAAAATGCCACGGTTCTTTAGCTCGCTCGCTCGCTCACATATATGTCTTACCTTACTCGAATGTCAATACTGGCATCGGAAAACTGATACTATTCCCAGATTTATCATAAAGAATTTCGGTGATATCTTAAAGATCATCGCTCTCCCCTGTTGGATCGCCATTGATCTTCGTCACAATGCCGGCAGATATACCATCATTCCACGTGCCTCACACCGCACGTAAAGTTGGCAAAAGCAATAATTCGACCCCGCATGTTCTCATGAAAGTCTAGATAATTAGACGCACGTTCTCAACTATCACAATTACAGTAAAACCTCTCCATAAGGATACCGGTTTTTGTAGTCTTTTTTAAGGATATATAGAGGTATCCTTGTATAGAGGTCCCGCTTAATCCCGATATAGTAGTAATTTCCTTCCGATTAGTCCCGATCGGGCCATTTCCGTGACATTTTTTAGAGTTTCGATTGAATCTCTTGAAAACCCCAGTATATTTATCATGTGATAGCTAATCCTGATGATTCTACTGGTCCAATAAGGATATGCACGTGATCCTGGGACCGAAAAATATAAGGATATCCTAATAAAGAGGTTCTAAGGATATAGGCCTTTTTTAGCCCTGAAAATTTTTGGGACCGAAAAATATATCCTTATAAAGAGGTTATCCTTATAGGGGGGATCCTTATGGAGAGGTTTTTACTGTACAACATATTGATCTCGGATACTTCCGAATATCTGATCCGCTTGAACAAACCTAGTTTTCATTTCATTAACTCTAGCATAAGTCAGATCTTCAATGATATTCCACATTTTCTAAATGAATATTGAGACTGGTCAACTCTCATAGCCCTGCGATGTGATCATCATGTCTGAATAAGGGTATCGAGAGATGAAAGCGTCATTACAATTTGAACACATGATAACTATCTGACTATCTGCCGGACATCAAGTGAGCCGATAGATATCGAGTCAGTGCTTCAATATCCACATGCATATACAGAACAGTTGCCAAAGAAAACCGCCACTGTTTGCTTGTGCTTTCTTCTCAAAACCCTCGGACCGAACCAGACCCAAGGAAAAAGTCGATCTACTCTAACAGCACACATGTTGAAGTATCTCACTCTGCCCTGCAACTTGAGTGTGTGGTCTACAAAGGTGGTCAAGGCATGCGAAAACTATTAAAACACACATGTTGACATCACAACACATGTTGTTGGAATGCTCCGGCAGATATTGCCTCGGCTTAACGGTATATCACAAACGACGCCCGAGCACACGTTAAACACTTGTTCCGTGCTCATTGAAAGTTTTGGCGCCTCCAGAGCGTCAGAAAGAAAGCTTGACATTTGTCATTTGAAGATACTGATGGAGACATCAAATCAATCAATTCGAAACTGGACCAAAATCTTCCCCGGATTGTGGCATGAATCTCCAAGGTATGGATTGTCTAGTACCTATGTCATAGCTTCAACCGCCACAAAGATAAGTAGTATATGGGAGCTACCGAATTACTGGGGATTCGTGCTAGTTTTTTCATGCGTTCTCATCGGGGGGTTGAGACAGGAATGGTCTTTCCGTTTATCAGTGCTTACGACCTCGACCACGACGGTCGTCATCGGTTCATACCGCGCTATCACTATGCTTTTTTGGACTTTACAACCAAGATAGCACAGAAAAAGTATTCATAAACATTGACGACGTTGATGCTGATGGTATTACAAGTGTAGTCGAAGTACAAAGAAGTCAAAGATGATGATGGTAAACTCAACAACCAAATTGAGAGCCATAAGGTTTGCCACTCGACAATCCTAACTGCAACAATGGTAATTGATAGAGTCAATGATTCATTTACAATACTAACATTCCCAGATTGCAATATCTACTAGTCTTCCAAACACCCAACTTCACACATTCACAATACAGCCGCATCCTACCCACCACATTCACTCATTCGCCCAATCCATTTACCTACCCATATCATCCATATTCACCACCTCTCGCTAAACACACAAACATATACTCAAACAATACATCTTCCACCACAACATCTCACCAACTGGCAGAGTGGTCTACCCCACTCGCTCAAGTCAGTTCGCCCAGTGAAGCAAGAATATACCATCCAATCCCGCATCGATCTCGGGTGTGGGCGCGTGTGGGATGTTGCTACTAATCCAAAAAACCGGCGGCGCCGGTTTTCCCCTATAGCGCGAGAAGTCGCGCTCAGTAGGTTTTGCATTTTTGGAGGTCGAGGAGTAGGTGGTGGGATAAGTGGAGCGGGCGCGCGTTGTACGGTAGAGAAAGGATGGAGATGGGGAAGCGAGAGAGTGAGGAGAGGTTTCTATTTTTTTTTGGGAGGGGGGGGGGAGGAGGGTGCGAGGGAGTTTCTGATATTGAATTCTGGATTGTCGCATTATAAAATAGGTAGGTAGGTAGGTACTAGGTAGGTATCTCATTCCACATTTTTAACGCCATATGATAGATATATTTGGTCGGATTTTTCACTATTATTTGCGCCTCAGACATCATAACTTCTCTACACAAAGTTGGCAAATGGAGGGTGAGTGAGTGGGTGGGTGTATATGCGAAATCAACATCACGTCACGTGACTTCACATCACACCAACAAAAATGAACATACTCCAGCTCATCCCATCCCGTCCCATCAATTCATCTTCCCCCCGTCTCCGAAAATAATCTCACCATCCTAACAAAACAAAACATCAATCTAACACCTCCACCAATAAGTAAATACCCAAACCACCAAACCACTCATCACCATCCAATTCCACAACCAACCCATTCTTCAATCCTTCAATCCTTCAACATATCAAAATCATCTCTTTACCTACCGAGCTAGTTAAATATTCTCCAATCTTGAAGGACCTCGAGAAGGAAATCATTACAAAAGTTTCTCAAGCCATCCATCCGAACCAAAGCTTTCCAGAGATATTTTCGAGTCGTTTTTGAAATTGCATGTATCCCTCCCTCTCGGTAGTATGTATGTATGTATACTCTGGGTATTGCTCTCGTGTGGAGAAGTTTCATCACACATCATCACATCGTATTATATCACGAATCACGAATTACTTTAACTTCAATTTTAATAAGGTGGATAGCTATGTAGGTAGGTAGGTAGGTAGGTAGGTAGGTAGGTAGAATAAAATCAAACAAAAGTTATTCTAAACAAATCTCCCACACAACTGCGCATATGAAATTTCCCTCTCCACTCCAACTACTTAATACCAACCCTTTTTCTCTCCTCTCCTTTTATTCTCTCCTTCTCTCCTCTTCTTCTCCCCTCCTCACAACCCAAAATCAGAACAAGAAATCAGAACAAGAAAGAATGTTGGAAGGGAGTCTGGGTTAAATACACCACATCATATCATATCACATTACTGCCTACCTACCATCTCACCATAAAGCTACCTAGGATACCTACCTACCTACCTACCTAGTTATCGATTGATCTATACATCGATGAATCAATCAATCAATCAATCAATCTCTCTAAATGGGATGGATATTTGAATTCAATGCACACACATAAACATAACTAGGTACCTAACATAAATAAACAAATACATACATACATACATACCGGGTACGCACCCATAAATACATAACACACTAAATCCCATTCCCTCCTATTCCCCTCCCTTACTCACTCACACGCTTGCTCAAAGCAATCAATCAATCGATCAATCAATCGATAAATAATCCTCAACCAACCAACCAACCAGAAAACCAGCGAACAATAGCATCCATACAAATGAAAGTATATCCGTCTCGTCTCCAAGATAGATATGAATAACATTCCCAGACTCAACTTCAAGATTCTAGGCACAGATACTAGCCCGTTAATCCCATCACCTCATCACATCATACAATCATCACGCTCACCAGTCCTTACAATCCCAAATCCCCAAATCAAAAAGAACATCTGGATATCATATCAATATTGAAGAACGAAATGTAAACAAATTTGTTTGTTTTTCTGAATTGAATGAAAAGCAAGTCTCCTAATAAATACTCTCCCACCTCAAGCATAAACACCCTTCGAACCTGGTTCGTCCCACCTCGGCGTAATTGTATTTTCCAATTCCTCTCTATCATCTCTCTCCCTCCCAGGCGTACTCCAACCCCCTCTCCCACTTTTCCTCCTCCTAACACTACCATCCACATCCTCCAACGCGCCGATCCACTCCCAGACTCTTGAGATCTCACCATTTTGACTCTCCCTTTGCATAGATCTAATATTTGAATTCATCTCCACTACTTTCTTAACTTTTGTCCAGATTTGTTCTCGTTTCTTCAAACTATGTTCGTCGCGGAGAACATCATCTCTTAATTGCCCTATACTGATCCAACCGTCCTTGAATCCATCTGGATCGGATGCGTGAAGGGATGCTTGAGTAGCGAGACGTTGAAGAGTAAGTGAGACCAAAGCAGGAATTGCGGCTTTCGTAGCTGTATGACTGAGAATCGATGAACGGGCGTAGAGGAAGAGGATAAAGGCTAGAACTAGAGATCCAATTTCGAGATAATATCTTGCCAATGTGTGTCTGAAGGATCGCTTGACGGCGCAGACGAGGGGGAGACGGGCGAGTGAGGTACTTGCGAGGGTGTTTGATCTACAACGGGGACGTTTAACCCTGATTAGTGAACCGAGTGTCAGAAGATATTGTAGTAAAAGGAAGAATACATGTGCAAACAGTGACAAGGATTAAAAGGAAAGGAATTCAAAACTTACCCTTCAGCACCAACGACTATCTCATCTCTCCCTTTGATCTCTCCGATGGCACCAAGCCATAATTCTTCAAACTCAGCTTCTCCCATGCCCTTTCTCCTCTTTTGGCTAACTTCTTTCTTTAAATGTTCGGCATCTATCTCAACAGTCGGTTCGGGTGCACCAGATTCATCTGTCAAATCACCGCATTCCCATTTTGCTCTTCTCTCTCTCAATTCCTCAACAGCGCGGTCCGCGACAGCTTTGACACGCCTTTGCTTTTCTCCATCAGGCTCACAAGTTGGTGGAAGCGGTAAGAATCCACCCAATGAGAGAGGATGATGCTTGAGGATAAAATCTTGGTCGCACTGAACTTCATAGTTGGCATTACAATAAGCATGCTGTGGACACCAATCGCACTGCGGTTCGGCGAGCACTTGTACCCAATCCGGAAGGTCTGGTCTGACGGGTATTATCGAATGCGCTTCTCTACCTACTCCACAGAAGCCTACGGCGATTTTCTCTTGCCTGTACCAAGTAGCATAGCCACCAAGCAATGTAAGAAGAATCATCCAAATAGGTCCACTCATGCTGACGCCGTTTGATGCTTTTCGTCGGGGTTGAACTGTAGTGCGCCCTCTCTGTTGCTCACGCTCGAGTTCGAATTGTGCCTCTGGAGTAAAATCCTCACTAATCTCAACTCCATTCTCATCATAATCCTTCAGGCCATCGAGGCTACTAACAGGAATTTCGAAAGTGGAAGAAGTCGGTGGGCGTATTCCAACATTAGCCGCCTGTGGGGTCACCGTGCGTCTTCTCGAAATCGAACTCCTTCGTTTTTCCATTTCCTTCATAGCACTCCCGCCCATGCTCTTTCTCTTACTGTCATGACTTGATATGGGAATTCTAGGTGGCGAGCCCCTTTGAAAGGGATTGTCGTGGGTGAAATTGCTTTCTCTCCGCGAGTCTTTCTTTTGTACCACTCCATCTAAACTGTCACTTGCCCCGACCATCGGCGTTTGAACTGTTGTGCTTTTTCTCGATTTTCTCACAGTCTGCGGGACATCGTCATCGTCTGAAAGAGTCTCCTCCTCCTGCCTGGGATGTTTGACGCTTGGTTTTGGTGTCTTTTTCACAGGACTACTAGCTCTAGGCATTCTCTTTACTGGGCTGATAGACCTAGTTGATCTCCTGGTATTCCTGTAGGCTGGTTCATCATCGCTAATATCCACCGATGCTCTAACTTTTGCAGGAGATTGTCTCACAACTCGTGTCCGCGGTGGTGGCAGGATAACATCACTTTCCCGTGGGCTTTCTACTGTACTTTCCTGAGTACTGCTCTCTTGTGACGATTCCGCATCGACGATTCCTCGACTCGTCCTCTTCGCACGCGCTCTTTCGTTCAATATCTTTCGTGCCTGTGGTCTTAAATCCTGGTTGAAGATTTCGACGAGTTGCGCTTTCTTCGCACTGGATGGATAATCGATATTATGTGTGACTAGAATAGAGCGGATTCGAGCCATTGTAAGGGCAGTTGGCTCAAAGCCGTCCTGCAGGTAATCGAGTTCATCTGACATGATGTCTGCTTGTCTTCTGTTGTGTGTGCTGACAAGTTATGAGGATGCGAAGTAACAATCCAGCTAGGGGGCGAACAAAACTGGATATTAGGGAGGAAATAAAAATGAATAAAGGGTCGCGAAATCTCAAACTCCTCTTGACACGAGGCTAAAGAAGATACTTTGAGAAAGTTGACTTAGTATATTGATATGCTTGGCATGTGGTATGCGATGACAATGACGTAAAATCGTGTAACCAATTCTATGTATCAATCCACCTCGTAGTAATTGTAGGTATCCAGAAATATCTTCTGATTTGGCGCAAGCTTACGAACGACACCAGATCAAAGATGAAGTTGATGAGGGGGATGGATAAGTGAGGGTAGCTGGATAATGCTCTGTCACGTACTGTGCGCTTCCGTGTGGTTCTTGAGTTTGCAAAAGCTTTAATGGAGAGCTTGTCGATAAGGAAGAAAGTTTGAAAATAAGAAGATAAATGGTTGTGGGGGAAACCGGATTATCTCTAAGAGGATACAGCCGTAAAGGCTACCTGGTACGATACGGTCCACTCCAGCTGGTAGTAATGTTGCGCCACATGTGGCGTTGTATGTTTTGAATGGATGGATGCTGGAAATCCATGGATGTCTCACAATGGATGTTGCCCAGGTGGTTATAAATGGAAGTTCAAAGCCACACACAGTCTTTCCTAGCCAGGCTTTTAAGTTTTGGCTAGCTACCTAGTAAGAATTGAAAAGCTCCTCCCTCTCCTCTTCTCTTCTCTTCTCATCCTCATCATGTGAAATCTTGACGATTGGAATCAACTCAACTCAAAAATCCCATCCTCCTCCCAAAATCAATGACTTTTCTTTTTCACTTGGTGAAAGAGGTAAATGTCAATTTTGAAGTGTTTTAATCCGTGAATGAAGTTGTTGACTTGAAATTTTCAATAATCATGATGAATTATCAACAAGATGAAAGTATTAGAGATGTATGTGGTTTTCTTCCATTTTGATTTTTCTTGCCGTGCTGCTTCTAACGTTCACTGGACACAGCTCAATGTCGCACTTCAAAGAGTTTTATTGGCTTTTCCCGGCAACAGTGGTCACCAATTGATTCAAGATACCGTGAGAAAAGGTATGTAATCTTACATCTTGACATTCTTTTCTTTTTGGCCTCGATCTCAAAGATTAAACTCACCAAATGAAAGCTATCAACGCATCTGCATCGGAATCACAATTTCCAACACCAGCATGCATTCAAACCGAAGAGGAATCAAAACATTTCGATCAATTACGTAACTTCATCGACAACCTGGTCTTGACCGTAACGCCTCAAGCTCTTCCAGCTTCCTCGTCGACATCATCATCAAGTCGGCCAACTTCCGAACACAACAAACGAAAATCTCTCGATGATCCCGAACATGACGCAAAGTTGTCACGGAGAAAGTTGTCAAAAGCAGAGCAGGAAGCGGCGGGAGCTTTGCAAGAATTATCAGCCGGTGTTTGAGTATGGATATATGAATGGATGGATGGATGGATGGTTTGGGTCGGGATTTCACGGATGGTAAAAATTGAAGCAAATTTGTAAGATTATCAAAAAAGATGTAGCTAATACAAGAAAGACAGCTTTCATGAATCAATACGTACGTAGCACAAAGACGTAGGAGTAGTCTCTTGAATTGAAAATGTACTTTTGAAGTTGGCATCTGAGTCCTCCTTTGAGATTCCACTGCCAGTGACCAGGAATGCAGACCCGCGAACTTCAAACCATCAGACAAAAGACAATATCATCACCATACTCTTATTCCGATTAATTCTCTATACTCTGATATAATCGTCTGATCTTGACGTCTGCTATTATAGCTCTTGCTTCCTTGGATCTGAAAGTATTTTCTGTTGCCATATGGTCACGTGCCTGCTGCCTATGGCAGATTTTCCATGTACACCTTCATTGGTATGTGATTGTTTCAGAATACGGTTTATACTTTGGTTGTGGATCATGATTTCTGGTGTGATCGCATATTTATCCCTAAATTTATTTTATTTTATTTCATGTATTGATTGTTGCTCTTTCTACTTCTAACAGACTCGACATTTTTACGAGTGCTCATTCAAATCATTTATAAGTTCTTCTCAGCATCAACTATACAACTAGCCATCACTGTCTCTCTCGTCTATCCCTTTCCTTGCCTACTACTTCAGAAGCTTTCCATCACAATGAACTTTATTTGACTTGAAGCCTGGCTGAAGCGATTCACTATGATTGTCGATATTCTTGACGTCGAAAAGGTTCTTGAGGCACAACATTCACGTTAATCAATGGAAGATGCTCAATATTTATATATTGCCGAGTGGCATTTTTTTGTTATTTTCCAGTCCACTTAGGGACTTCTTATGGTAACTATACTAAATCATGATACCGATGCCAAAATTTAAACCCTAACTATTAAGAAAGAGGAAACCCTAAGATGAAGACGATGTAAATCAACCCTCCCAACTAAGCCGAACAGACTCTGTATTATTATCCAAATCTAGTCAATTGATGTCGACTCTCTTGACCTCAGTCCAAGATTCTTCTTTCTCTACCTTTGGTACAGTTACGACCAAAACACCATCTTCCAACTTGGCAGTAATGTTATCACCATCAATTTCGGATTTGTCTTCTTCGTCGAGGGGCAATTTCATAGTGCGCTCGAAAGCACCCACCTTTCTCTCCTTCTTTGTGAGACTCTCCAGGAATTTCTCATCTCCTTGTCTGTATACCACACCTGCCATGTTCAACATTCCTTTCTCAGCATCCCAGTGTACACCTACATCTTCTTTTTTGGCACCGGGAAGCGCAATGTGGAGGACATATGCATTTTCAGTGGTGAAAACGTCAATGGGGGGAACGAAAGAGTTCTCTGTGTCAGCATCTTCGGGAACGAGTGTTTCACCAGAGCGCTGGGCTGCAGGTACACCAAATGCCTGTGCGATTGGGTGAGAGGAGATTGCTTGCATCATTGCACTGAAATCGAATGGGCCGCCCGGGCCAGCGAATGGAGGTGGACCGCGTCTTCCGTGATGGCCGTGAGGTCCACCCCAAGCATGAGGTCCTCCTCTACCATGTGGTCCTCCATGGGGTCCTCCGTGTGGCGCACCTCGGCCTCCACCTCGAACACCCCATCCGCCTCGGCTACCTGGCCCGTGGCGTCCGTGATGTTTAGGTCCTCGACATGATTCCTGTCCTTTTGATCCTTCTCTCACTTCAAGATCCGATGACTCTTCACCTGAAGTCTCACCATCTCTGCGACAATGACCCTTCTTGCCTTTGCCTTTGCAACCTCGAGGACCCCGATGTGGCTTAGGAGATTCCTCTCCTGCTTCAGTGTCAGAAGTTGGGGTTTCCTCACCAGACTCTTCTCCACCTCTGCGGCCATGTTTGCCTCTGCCATGATGACGATGTCCTCGGAATTCCTCTTTACCTTCTCCCTCAGTGTGTTCTCCATCTCTGCCTGGAGAGAAGGAACGATGACCTCTGTGACCGTGTCTTCCTCTTGGTCCAAACCCACCTCTACCAAATGGTCCTGGTCCGCCAAAAGGGAAACCAAACGGACCAAATGGACCAAATTCGTGTGGACCATGATCGCCTCTGGGACCATGTCGTCCAGGGTATTCATGAGGTCCATGAGGTCCTTCTGGTGGACCCCACATATTGAACTCTTGCGAAGGGTGGTCGACGCCAGCTCCAGAGTTTTGTGGTTGCATTGAGCGTACAAAATCCCAGAAGGGACCTGCTTGTTGATTGTTGCTTTGATTGTTGAATTCCATGATGAATTGATAATGATGCTGATAATATAGAATAAAGAAAAATACAAAAAGAGGGGGGTGAGATTAAGGAATATATACCTCTTCCCAAGGCCCTCAGACTTCGAGGCAAGCCAGTAAGTGCGTAACCTCAACACCGAAGCTAGCAAGGAGGCAAAAATGGCAACGAAACACAAACCTACCTATTTTCAGTCGACAAGCTGTTGACGTATCCCGCACAGAATGGCAAAAACCTGGAAATGCATCAGACTGAAGAGCTGTGGTTGGTGATTAAGCTGAAAGTAGCCGCGCGTCGGTCAAGCAGATTGGATGGATCCATAGCATTGATGTGGCGTAAGCTCTTCATTTTCCCCTCAACAAGTGTGGCTCATCTATTGGAATGGTTTTAGAGTGAGTCAAGCTAATGAAGATGACTCAAAGCCAAGAAGTATTCGGATTCTCGGGTTTCTTCCAACTGCCGTCAGCTTTTGATTGGCTGATAGTCCTACACGTCGGAACCGATATCCCCTCTCGGTCCCGAAGAGTGGCGAAGTCTAGAATAGTCGCCACTCCCCTTGTTACCTAATCAATTTACGATTCTCCATCCACACAACTCTTACGATCTCAAACAATGACTTCCTCACTCTCTTCATCGACGCTCATAAATTCCCCAATCTCAATTCCCAACCCCAGACAAAGCGCTCAATTCCGACACCGAGTGGACGAATTAATAACCAAATCATGCAGCAGAACCACATTAAGCTTCTCAAGGCGTCGGTTTTACCCATAAACAGAATATTCTAGTGATCAATCACTATGCCAATCCCCAAAAGACGATACTTCTTTCCCATATTCAAGGTGCCGTATTTGGACATATCCCATGTTGCGAGACGTGCAACAAAAAGAATGGGAAATTTGGAGTATCAGATTGAGGTAGAGCCTGTTATCGGCGGGTGGCTGAGTGGAAACGTATGATCTTAGGTAAAGCGGATGGAAAAAGTCGTGGAACGTGGGAATCGATTAGCTAGGAGGCTAGGTAGGTCACTGTCGCTTTTTATATCTTCATTTCGTTTTTGGTATATATGTTGCTGCAATTTGACAATTTATTGTGCTATTTGGATTGTTTTTATGGAATTCTTTGCGATTGATATGGGTTTCTTCATTTGTCAAGCATGCATGTGAATAAATGTCGTTCGGTAAGCGTTTTCGTTAGATGTATATAACAATTTTGTTTGTTATAATGAACGTTGCTATCTTGCGATTTTATACAACTCCATTACAACTTTATTACTTCCTTTACTGCCACCTCTATTTCATCTACTTCGTTGAATTGAAGCGTGTTATTTGCAACTCGCAGCCTGTGTTTCCTCCAACTATCCAACAGTATTTGAGCAATTATCCTTTCGAGAGAGGATCAATCCCACCTTCCGGATCTGGATTCATAGGCATTCTCTCTGGCAGCCTCCATTCGATCAGATTTCCATTTTTCAATTTTCTTATCGTCTTGTTCTCTGGGGCTATTCCTATTGGATGCTGCGTTGTTTGATTGAGTAAAGATCAAGAGATCATTGTGTCACTGAGAATTAGAAAAGACGAGAACTCAAAGACTCAAAGTTGACGAAATCTGGGCCTTTGAGTATTCAAGGAGGTCTGAGTTTGAGACAATCATTCCCTTTCATGGTTGATTCATGACAGACAGCATTTGACTACACTCAGGCACAATATTACAGCAATACGATCCTGATCGTATTTTTTGATATGTATTATTCGTTCCCATGTGGACCTCACAGTCACATACAACCGCATTCTCGCGAGATATCGATATTCAATTACGCTTTTGACGGATAAGTGACTCGCTGAGAATAGTTTCTTAAAGTCTCTTTCCTATATCATATACGACACAATGCCCCATTTTCATTAAGCTTCCAATTTACATCGCTACCAACTGCAGCATTTGCCCAGAATAAAAACTCCGGGTCATACTTCTTCTTCGCCTCTAATAATGACTTATAATTTGACCCGTAGTAATCATTTTTCCAATACGGATTGTCCCATGTCGCTTCATTCATGTATGAGCCTCCTCCAGGCGTGATAGCGCGCAACGTTTCTTGCCAACTATTCAATTGTGTCTGGGTATAACGGATATCATCAAGTTTAGCGTTCTCGGCTAACGGTTTCAGAAATGCTACGGCGAACAAGGCATCCCGCCAAGTTGGAAGTACGGCATTGGGGGTATAGTTTCCATGAGTAATATTTGCCGCAGTTAAGAAGATAGTTCCTCCTTCATCCGTGATATCGTGAAAAGCGGAAATGATTGCAGGCAGAGTGGTATTGTCTTGCACCGTTGAGCGTGGAATGTTTCGTCCGCCTATCGAGGTATTGCTAGTCTCCGCTTGTGAGACCCAATGATTGTAGGATTCGGCAAAGTTAACATGGACTTCAGCGGTATAGCTTTTGTCTAACGAGATATTGAGGTCCTCCAGCTTCTTGAAAAATGGATTTAAAGCAGTGTCAATTATGGCTGTTGTAGTGACATCTGGCAATAAAGCGAAGTTTAACGAGAAGCTATCGGCTGTAATTGTCGAGACGGTAGTAAGATCCTTAATAGTATCCAGCACAAGCAAAGTTTGTAACCAAGCACCAGTAGCAGTCCAATACGCAGTAGTATTACCATTTTTGAAAGAGAACGCCGCACCAGCAACAGGACCATCATTATAGACCCGAAGCTTCGCCGAAAGCACTACAGCGAAATTCCCACCTCCACCTCCACTCAGTGCCCAGTACAAATCAGCATGATGCGTGGGCGAAACAATCAGATGTCGTCCCGCGGCAGTCACAACTTCCCATTCTAGTACCTGATCAGCAGCAACTCCATAGGCGCCCACAAGTGGTCCATGGCCACCGCCTTGCGTAAAACCTC